TAATTAAAAGATCCATATATATATATATATATATATATATATATATATATATATATATATATATATATATATATATATATATATGCATGTATATATATATATATATATATCTTTATAAATAAAACTTTACTACATAGCTTATATATTATGTATAAGCCTATATATATACATATATATATATATATATATATATATATATATATATATATATATATATATATACATATATATATATATATATATATATATATATATATATACCTATATATATATATATATATATATATATATATATATATATATATATATATATATACCTTTATATATATAAGTTTATATCTCGCTCTCTCTCTCTCTCTCTTTATATATATATATATATATATATATATATATATATATATATATATATATATAATGCCCTTGATAAGCCCGATTATTTATACACTAGCTGCTGTCACACATGACAATCAATATCAGTCTTTGTAAGCTTGAGTGATAAAGGTTAGGTGTAAAGGTGGGCATACATACATCGATGTTCACATTTCTCAGCAGGCCACATAGCTATACTTTGGAAGCGGGTAATAAACTTTTCTAAGTTAGGAGAAGATTTTTTTTTTCATGGATTTTAGAAATATGGTATTGAATATAAAGGTCTATTATTATTGGTGCCCATCTACTTTTAATTAACGTCAAGGTACTGTACATATTTTTTGACTTGCAGAAACTAAAATTGATATAAGAAAAAAGAAAAGCTTTCTTTCTTTTCCCCTCTATGTAAGTAAATATATATATATATATATATATATATATATATATATATATATATATTGGCTATATACATATGGATGCCTGTGTGTGTTGGTTTACTCATTTATTTCTATGGTGCGCTAAATATACTAGTATTTGCTAATTCTTTCCCTTTTTTATTCCGTTGCCTTTTAGTAAAACGTAACTATTTTTTCAACCAGAAATGTAGTCACTAAAACATGCAGATTCTTATGTTAACCATTTTTATTATTATTATATACGCTTCCTAGATTATATATATTGTAAATTGTCGACATTTTATTTAAGGCGCTACATGTCACTAGTCTATGTAAGATCTTATTGTTTCCGTTTAATTATTCATTACTTTCTGAGTTATCGTTTGCTTTTAGGTTTAGGTTTGCGTTTGTGTTTCTATTTGTGTTTGTGTTTGTGTTTTCGTTTATGTTTGCATTTGTGTTTGGGTTTGTGTTTTATTTGTGTTTGAGTTTGTGTTTGCTTTAGTTTTTGAGTTTGTGTTTTCGTTTTGGTTGGTTGTAGTTAGTATTAAGTTTAAAGTTAGAGTTAGGTTTAAGGGTTATGTGTTCTTTTGACAAACGACCATACCGTGTATATGCAGCTTAATAAAAACAAAAATCTAGGTCCTTTACAGGATTTTATAAACGACAGATTATTGTGTTTAACAATATTCATAGTTGTTTTTTTTTTAATTGTAAGCATAAGACGAAGGGGCGTCGTGATCAAGCGGTAGATAGCTATACTGCTATTCCGAAAGTCTCGAATTCGAATCCGGGTTCAAATCAGTAGAACGTCCCCAAGTCCACTCAGCTCTTATGGGTACCTGACTAACGTTAAGGAAACAAAGGCGGCTTGGCATAGTGCTGACCACATGATCCCCTTGTTATTGCGAGGTCATTGAAACAGATGAACTCTACTGCATCAGTCCCACGTGTCTTGGGCACGAACAGGAAACGAAGAAGAAGCATAAGATGACACGAGCGCACAGTCGACAGTATATGTAGCTCTTCGTGAGTCCACTTTAATGTTGGGGATTCTGGGGAAGGGGGTAGGCTCCTAACGGCTACAGGACATTACCCCCCACCCGTTAATTACCCCCCCCCCTCCCCTGACATTTCCCAATCCCCCTATTTCTCCCCGGGTGCAATTACCTCCCTGTCTATTACCCCCTTTCAATTACCCCCCCCCCCCCCCGTCGGGGAATTACCCCTCCCAATCAAGTTTGAATCCTAACTCTAACTCAAATTCCATACCTATATATTACATTAATCCTAACCTTTAGAAAAAGACTAAAACCTGAGCCTTTACCTCAGTCTAAAACTTAACACAAAACCAAAGCCAATGCTAGACATCGGTTTAAGCCTAACCATAACTCTAATCATAGCCATAGCCCTAACTAACCCTAACTCTAAACCTAAACCTAGCCATAGCCCTAACCTTGTGCGGGGGGGGGGGGGGGGTTAATGTCCTACTGGGCGGGGGTAATTGACAGGGGGGATTAATCCGAGGGTAATGTCGGAGGTTGGGGGGGGGGGGGAGTCCGGGATGGTAATTGACGGGGGGAGAGGGGGTGGTAATGCCCAGTTCCCGCTCCTAACACACCCTGCAAACGCTATAAAGCATTATTTATGAAATTCGAATGATAAACGTACAGATGAGTCGTCTGCATGGCACTGACTGCGATATAGAAGTTGACACAGAACTTTCACCTTTACACATTCTAGCTCACCTTTGCAAATCATTGACAGTGTGTATACTGCCTATTAGCTACCTCTATCGAATCCATCTATATATATATATATATATATATATATATATATATATATATATATATATATATATATGTGTGTGTGTGTGTGTGTGTTTAAATATATCTTTTTTAAAGAATATATTGGAAATGATAAGGAAAGAAAAGATAGGTTAAGAGCATTATAAAAACATGTAGATAACAGCTTAGGCAAACGGACATGCCCTGATTAACTTTGATGTACATATATATATATATATATATATATATATATATATATATATATATATATATATATATATATATATATATATATGTTACATTGACATCTTATGACCAGACTGTATTAGAAATAGCACTTGTGACACATGACACTTGAGCACGTCACATGTGTATTTGCATAGGTGATATCTGCGGCTGGCTATTGAATGGTGTATTAAGTAAGCTTTAAATATAGATTTCTATAAATGGCCCCCTTTGAAATCTGTTACACTAGTCCATTTATACCTGTGAGAGCGATAGCGACTAAATTGTAATATTGAACGACCGTTCTGTGGAACTAGTTGAAATATGTGTAAGTATTAATAACTTTAGAATTCGCTTTATTTTGATATAATAACAATGGCGATAAAAACAATTCCAGAATCTAAGTATTATCTCTGCTACTCAAAATTGGAAAAATACTTGAATATATGGGGACCGAATGTGATGAATATAGGGTCTTATTATAAGTAACAAATCTTTTGTAGTTGTATATATATATATATATACCCAAAGGTGAGAGCCTTCATCGCTTATGATTAAATGATCTTTAGATGATCTCTAGATTTGACCCTGAGAATTAATCATTAAACACTTGGATATGTGAGTATGGCTGTATGATAAGAAACCGGAAAGAGCGTTTAGTTAAATCTGGTTGTACCTTATTGCTATAATCAAATAAGGTTTTCCAGATTAGCCTACTGTGTGTGTGTGGGGGGGGGGAGGGGTAAAGGAAGTTCCTCTTTTCTTCCGCCTTAGTATAAACATGGCGGGAAAATTATAAGTAGCCTATCGCATGGTTTACTTTTATTTACGATTGAGCAAAATAAATTACATTTTTAGCGTTATATACTTAACATCGATAATGGTTAAATCAGTTAGTAGATATTAATGCGTTGCTTTTATTTTTATAGCTAATACTAAGATTAGCCTAATGCGATTTTTTTTTTTGGCGCCAATGCTAACCGATCGCCATTTGTAATAGCAACTTGATTCAGATAACTGGTTTTATACACCAGTGCTAACACATTTCTAAAAAAAAACGTGTGGATATATTGTGTACTTATTTCCTATCTGTGAATTCGTTTAAAAATAAGTTTACAATAAAAATGGACAGTTCAAATAACGTCGTTTATAGATCATTAATGAGCGAGGTATTCACCACATCTCTTCTACAATATAGACACTCAACATTAGAAACGGGTGATAGTTTCTGTATGGATATCAATCTATCAGGATCGGTCATGGATACCAATTCTAATTATGATATTAATTTATCAGGCTCGTTGCAAGAAAGATCTTATGACAGTGACGACATTGCCATTCATGCATTGTAATCAACATTTAGACATGATAAACTGCATAATGTTGGGTAATTAATTTTAACTGAAGTCTTGTGTAATTGTCCAATTTAGTCAGATGTAGATCTAATAATTTAAAAAAAAAAAATTGTCAACTTAGTATAATTACTATAAAATACGTGGACGCATTTTTAGTACTTACTTACACAAGTTATACACTGTTAGGGAAGACAATCACATGATTGTCTCCCTTCGAAGAATTGTATAAAATTCTTTCATCTGGTCGTTTGATAAACAAATTCTAGTTAAAAAGGGTATTACCAAAAAACATCTTCCCAGTTAAAAGGTATTGTTAATTAAATATGACCAATAGAATCCTTCAGCAAGGATACTGTTCCCATAATGAGTAAGTTTTAAAATAGCAGCACCAAATTTCACATTTTAATTGTTTATTAAAAATGTATTTTTCAGAACATTGAAAGTTATGGCTTCCTACTGTAGTCTCTTGAGTCTACGTCCATTAGAACAGCCAATCTGAGATATCAAGCCATTCTTGTCTATCAAGTATGGAATTTACACAAACTAAATTTAGGAGAAAAGTGACAGTGTTCATCAAGATTCGTCTACAACTGTAGTCTACAGTATTTTAAACAGTAGTTGAGGGTGTAGGCATGTCATTCTTGAAACCTTTAAATAACCATAACCTTAACAACTGCTACTGTAACAGGACAGTATCTTGTTCACCAAACAATACACAAAGCAGATAAGTAGATCTTCATTGAACTCAGGACTTATTCTGTGTTCGCAGTTGTGCCATACAGTCATCATACTCCATAAATGTGGACATAAAAAATGTAGTGATACATTTTACCAAACCTCAAAACAAACGCAATAAACAAAACACAGCATGGATCTCAACTTTTATTTCTGGTTTAAAATGTGTCATCTCTGAAGCTGGTAGACCTTGGCTGTTGAGTCGTCCGAGGATGTGACAAGGATGGATTCATCCCTGCAAGAGTTAAAACATTTGTTATTTCAGACCTTGGTTTGTAAATCATTGTTTTTTTGGTCTCATACATAATTGTTATTTCAAGCATTTATTTGTGTAAATTTATTGTCCGTTTAAAGCTCTTGATATGTAGCTGTTCTTCATGACAGAAAAAAAAATTAATTTTCCATACTATTGTTTAAAAGAAATTACACTTATCACACTATTGCATTATAAGCTATTTTTACACATGCATTTTTTAAAATGATATAGACTCATTGTAATAGCAAAAAAATAGTGCCCAGGTTTTAGAAATGTAATTTTTTTTTACCTTTATCAATATTGTGTTGTTTCAAAATATATTGTACATTTTTATTAATAATATATATTTACAAGTCTTATGCAATTTTACTATACACAAATTTTGATGGGTGCTTACTAATGTTACTAAATGAAATGTTTTGTCACTGTTGTTCATTTTAAAAAAATGGTAGCTGGATATTGTTTCAATAATTATGTCTAATGCCCTTTAGCAGGGATTTAAACAATTTGAGGTTCTGAAATTAAATGGAAACCAGAGTGAAACGGTAGTGGGTAACTTTAAAAACAGAGGGAACATTGAAATACCAGTAGATAAATTACAGATCGACAGCGTATATGTGAATCAAGGTAAAAAAAAAACTGAGCTTGGGAGAAGTTCTTATCATTTAAAGAATAGCAAAATTATAGAATCCTTTTTTCAAAATTTTTTGTGTGAGAATATTTAACAGAAAATAGCAGAAAATTCTGAATAAAAATTCATGAAATCCAAAAAAATTAGGAAGTCTGACAAAATTCAATAAGTCACACCTCTATTATCTAGTACTGTCAGCCTAGCATAATCATCAAAATGAAAAAAAAAGAGTATTGCATCATCCATTTGACAACAAAGTAATGAACAATAGCCTATAGCAGGGGTCTCCAAACTACGGCCCGCGGGCCGGATGCAGATGCAGTCCACGAAGTCCTCTCATCCGGCCCGGGGAGATGTTTTAGTCCAACGAAAAATCGTTTGTCAGTGATTGCTAAGGAACTTTGCCCAGAAAAATCAAAGAATTGCCTGGAAGAAACTGGCCCCCGAACTGAAATTTGATAGTTAATGCGGCCCTCGGACTGAAAAGTTTGGAGACCCCTGGCCTATAGGATCTTGACCTAAATGTATCTAGTATAGATAGGTTAAATATAATCCTATTTAAATAGGAATGTGTAAAATGCGAATATAAGCCGTTTCCGTAGATGACAATTCGTTTTTTTTTTTTTACTTTTATAACTTTGTATAAAAATATACGAAAAAAACAAAAAATCGGCCAACCAATTATGAGAAAATGACAGCCCAAAGAGAAAAAACCTGATTTCCAATAAAAATTGTAAAAGTAACATCCCTGAAAAAGTGCTGTACAATTCCCATACAATATTTTTTTCTTAACATACTAGACCTTATCTACATAATAAGCATAATCAATATCTAAAAGACTTCGTTCAATGCGGTTATGATAAATAATATGCAGATTAAAAAAAAAGTCAGTTAATAAAACAATGATTTGTGATTACCGAGATAAATCGAAATCCAGCACGGCCGATGCATGGCCTTGTAGTGTCCGAACAATCTGACCATTCCTTGAGTCGTACTGTCTAACGTTCCCATCAAGGCATGAGGTGTAGAAAGTGGGGAGTGTTTTGGACCATAAAATTTTTACGATGCCATACTGAAAACAAAAAAAAAAATATATATATATATATGTAACGAGGCTATTTGCCTGTAGTGCCAAATGTTAACGAGTTCTGCTCGACAACGCCAAATGTTACCGAGTCTAACCACTCATTCTACACAACATCGACCACAGTATAGATACTCGAAGATGCAGGTTCGCTATTGATCCTTTTATTACATGAATCAAAGAAATGCTTCACAATAATATAATGAATCAAAAGGAATGCTTCACAATAATAGTCTGAATCAACTGACCCCCAACAGTCCTCACTAGTCTTCACATAACTGAATGCACATGTCTATCGTCCTTCTTAACACAATACGGCTAACCCGTTCAATAACCAACTTGATACTGCCTCACTGATCGAGAGAGAGAGACAGAGAGAGACACCGACCGCGAGCTCAGCCGTCGCCTTCCTATATATCCCCTTCGTATTCGTAATCGTATTCGGTTCTATCATAATCGTAATCGTAATCGATTCTAATCGTTGCATCAGAATGTTAATTACGCCGCTTCTGTCGTACAGTCCGATTTAATAAGCCATCTGCATCCTGTCACATCAAAGTTGACAGACCGTATTGCGTTCTTCTCGTATCGCTTCCCAAGATACTACGCCTTGGCTTTCTGATCGTTATCAGCCAACACCTGCGTTATTACATCAGTCGTGTCAAAGTTGACAGCGCTGTACTGCGTTCTTATGTCTCTGGTAACTTCCCCTAGTTACATATATATATATATATATATATATATATATATATATATATATATATATATATATATATATATATATATATATATATATATGTATAAAGCTATATGCACACATGCCACTATGTGTTCTGGTTAAAGAGGCTTGTTGATACACAATAAGAAGATAAAGTGTTATTTCTCTCTTTTGTTTTGTGTATTAGTTTCATTTTTATGTAAAGAGAAAAATTTTAAAATTACAAAAATGTTGTGTTTTAATCTGAAGCAATTTGTTAATAAAACAAATGCTTCTTTTGTGGATTAACATTGAGAGGTTGTTGGTATATATGAAAGAATTGCAAGTGTTTAATTCTATTCACGAAAATAACTGTATACATTAATGTTGAATAAATATTACACATATTGAAATATTCAAATAACACTGAATAAAATAAACATAGCTTTATAAAGGAAAAGAAAGTTTAACATGGCAGCCAAACTTTTAGCAAAAAAATTTTTTTAAAAAGTTTCCTAAACTAGATTTACATTGATAAATCAGTATAAATAATAATAAACATCAAGAGTTTAAACTCACTGGGTGATCACAGCTGTGTCTCAATGACTGTGTGGGCAGGTCCCAGATCTCAAGGGCTCCTCCCAGTGTTCCAGTAACAGCATAGTCATGTCTGTGGACAACATAGTTCGCAGGGTTACAATAAACTTTGAATAGTCAAGATTTAATTATAGAACGTTTAATACATGGTCTTGCAAAACAAAATTGGTAGTAATTACTAAAGACATTTTTGTTGTAAAAGTTATTCTATATGTAATTCTAATGACCCCAGAAAAAAATTAATTTTGTGTTGCCTTAATGGATGTTTTTAAAAACCATGAAGGACTACATAATAAATGGCAGGAAAAATAAAAGTAATTCACACAATCAAATAAAACGTTTTTTTTTTGTTTTTTATTTGGTTGAGGTTTTGTAAAATATAAGAATTCTAAACATCTCTTAACCAGTTAACTCCTGATGTTGCCAAATGCCACTTTTGTATGTTGTGTGGTTGTGAAGCAGACTCTACTTTTTTATATCTATTTATATTTTTTTCCTTACTTTCCAAAATTGCGCATGGGTTGAATTAAAGAGAAATTTTTTAATATGTGTCAAGTATTCAAAATTTTGTCAGAATGGCATGAATTTTGTGCTTGTTTATGAATGCCTTGGAAGTAAGCTTTGCTATGACCATTACGACGGTGTCAACGTATATAATAATTAATTTTTTTTTTTCAACTAAATGCAATTAAGACTTTATTTACATTTTATTAAATGTGTTGTCCCTTTTACTTTCGTTTTTACAAGTATAATTGTTGTTGATGAAGTTCATTTTATTGTGAATTTTTTAAAAGACCCACCCCATCCTAAATATATAAAAATTAAAGTATATTTGTTTGTTTGTGGGTTGACCTTTATGCACTACTACATCTTTCATCCTATGGCCATTAACCTTTGAGAAGTTGTTGAGAATACTCCTGGAGAGGTTTTTGTGGAAAAAAATCTAAAATTTCGCAAGGGCGTAATTTGATTTTTCTCTATATATTATATATAAAAAAAAATCTGATGTGTTTTGACATCGTTCATCTGAGTGCCATGAAATTTTGGGGAGTTGATGAGAATACTCCTGAGAAGGTATCTGCGAAAAAAATTACAACTTCTTATGGGCAGTGCTATTTTTGTCAATACACAATTTGGCACCCAGTTCCACAGCAGCTATCTTAGCATGTCCTGCGTAGCAGGTAATAGGTACTACTATATTAAGCTGCAAAACTGCAACAGGCACAGCCAAAGCGCTCCGGCGATTGCATGACCCAAAAGCATCCAGGGCTCCCCTGTGAGCAATATGGCTGTTTTAACAAGTGCCATAGCCTATTGATAAGATGGGGTATTATAGTCAAGCACATACGCCAGTGGACGGAGTGGTTTAGCGGTAGAGAGCTGGACTGCAAACCCGTAAATCTCGAGGTCGAACCCGGGATCAAATCAGTAGACCGTCCCTGAGTCCACATAAATCTGATGGGTACCTAGCTCATGTTAGGGAAAGTAAAGGCGGCTGGGCATAGTTCTGACCACACTATCTCTTCATATTCGGAGGTCACAGAAACAAGTGAACTCTACTTCACTTGCCCGATAGGTTTGAAAGGGAAACTTTACTTACTTTAATTACATACGCCAGCGCCCTAACAGGGTGCGATTATGCGCCCCGGGCTATCTTATGAGCATTATGGCGCCTACTTTGGTTTTAAAGAGCACCCTACAATATTGACATTTGATGATTCAACAGAGCATGGGCTCCCTGGAGCATCCCATTACGTCCCTGACACCTGGGCAGGCATCAGTGTTTCCTACCTCACTATTATGTGATTAATGTACAGTCTAGGCTTTCATACAGCACGCCCTGGTGTAGTAGTGTGGGCAAACCCGTGCCCCGACAAATATGATCCATTTAAATAACTCATTTTGAGAAAACAAGATCATGCGTCTATATAGGATTGGTTATGAATTAATGAAGCCCTCTTAAAATATTGCATCAGTCTTTCTTCTGAGACAGCGGCAATGCGCAAGGATGGGCACGCTAGTTAAGATTTTGACTTAGGACTGGAGTGAGAAACACGTTACAGCCTAGGTGTTAAAAGGTTAAGAACTAGGTCTATCATATATTTACATGTAAGAAAATCCAACAGATTCCACAGAATCTTCTTCTTCTCCAGATTCTCTGCATTTAAAGGTTGATACAACCTGTTAATATAGGAAAATACAAAATTTATAAAAAAACTTTTTAGTAATAAAAAATAACATTAACTTAATGATTAAGCAGTTAAAACAGTAGCTATTAATAAAAATGTGCTGGTGATAAAATTACTGGGTGGGCAACCAAGTATAATGTTCATATTTGTTCTGCGCAGGTTGTTGCTGCTACAGATAACATGAGCAATACCAGGAAACAAATAACTTGAAAGCACCACCTCCCATTTTAAAGTTCCAAATAACTCAATGCATTATCTGTAAAAGAAACTTACTTTTCCTGTAGCTGTGTTGATAACCTTAGCTGTCATATCACCAGAACCTGACATAATCAAAGACCCTGTGTTGTTGTGGTCTATACAATACACCGATGATTTGTGACCTTCATGACCTATGGATTTTTAATTGAACTTAAACATTTTGTTATCATGGTCATTAAACATCAAAATAATAATTTGTGTCATATTATAATAAAACTTTATGACTGAAATTTTTAAAGTCAATTAATATCTATATTGTGGTAAAAATTTCAAGTCTAAATTATTTAAAAAAAAAAAAAATTGTTAATATTTTATCGCTATATTAAAGTTCAGTAAATAATTTTAATTTTTTTTTAAGCCCATTCATAGAGAGGGCAGATATGATACACTTAATTAGCTGTGATAGAACAACAAGAAAACAATGTTAATAAAACATCATTTCCCGCTTCTGTCTGTATCTTCAAAATTTCATTAGCAACAAGACTTTACTAATGGTAAATAAATGTACTATTTATATTTTGGGCGACTGTGGGCGCACAGGGCTGCACCACACACAAAAGGGTCAATATATTTGTAACTGGGCCTGATATAAACTATAAAAACCACACTAAAATGAAAAAAGTACCAAAACAAAAAATTAAAAAGTCATATATTGAGTTTGCAACAGTTCATAAATCAGAAAAAAATATTAAAATTATTACTGACCTGAAACAGTGTGAACTGCTTGCTCTGACTTGAGGTCCCAAATTTTAATGACGCCATCTTCATAGCCAACACATGCATGCTTACCTAAAGAATATAAATGATTTTTGTTTTGTAAAAAAAAAAGGAAAGTACATAAGCTTAGTATAAAATAAACAGAAGACCATTACATCAACAACTATATTAAAAAGTCACACACCATCTGGCAGTATTTTCCCACAGTTGGCACTCGGACCAAATCCAGCAAATGTTTTACAGTCTCCTGAGGGAATCTTCCACATCCACACCTGGCCTTCTTTGGTTCCTGCCAACAGTATGGGGGCTGCATGGTGCCACTGGATCCACTACAAACACAAAGATAATGCTACTATAAAATCTTTTACTACGCATTATAAAAGGCAGGGATATATATTTATTAGCCTTGAATCATGAGGGTAAATAAAGGCAGGAGGGCATAAAGCTGACCACACTAACCCTTCACATGCTGGGGTCACTAAAACAGGTGAACACAACTTCACCTGTCTCATGGACCATAAGATTTTAAAGGATACCTTACATAAATTATTTAAATTTAAGCTTTGAAGCATTAACAATACTATTAAAATATAAATGTGTGGATTTCCCTATATGACGTGGCCAGGGTATGAAATGGTATACGGTATTCCCTTTCTCCCATGGCAGGTATCTATTGGAAGAGATGAGCTCAGGGAGCCTGAAATACTAAGGATTCAGTAACCCATCAACAGCATAACCTAGATGTGGAGTCTCTAGCAATTTTCCAGATAGGTATTTCATTTGACTTTATACACTAGACAAAAACTGACAATAATCAAACAAAAATGGAAGTAAAAAATATTTTTGCCAATGATTCCCACATTTCAACACAAAAAAAAATTAACCTTAAAGGTTAATGTATTAATATTATTACCGCTTCCTTTTAGAACAAGAAATAAGTATTTAAGTTAGATAATTATCAGAAAAACCTGAGTATATATACTTCAATACTAAACTAAAATTATGTGTAATTTTATTAATAAAAACATTTAACACAGCTACTTTTTTACAGAACAAGATTAGATACCAAATCTAGGTTGTATAATCCAATCACTAATGCAATTTACCTCAACTTCATCAGCATCAAAGGACCACAGCTCAGTGCCGGAGTCCACCTTCCAGACTCGGATCATACCTTTCATGTCAGCTGTTGCCACCATTGAGCCGTCATGGCTGAAGCCGACACTTAAAACGGTGTCGGTGTGACCTGGACAAGATTTAAATTTTCGAATTTTGAGATTTGGTACATTTTAAAAACAACACTGACTTCAGGAAAAGGTAATTTTCAAAAAAAGATAGGTTCAGATTAAATTCTAACCCATTCACTGCACATGGCAAGTATGTTTTGTCATAGAATTCTAGTCATATTTTGCGTCATCATCAAATTCAAGCATAAAAAAATTATTACACATTGTGCGGTAATGATGCTTTGCAGAATTCAAATCACACATCAGAAAGAGATAACAAAAGCAAACCACAGTGAAAGGGTTAAATAGATATTTGTATAATAGACCTAAAGTTTATGTTTTAAAGTATGTTACATATATTTTACATACTGTTAATACTATTAAAACTTGTCGAAAAGTTTTTTATTTTATTTAAAAAATTCATTTCATTTCTATGATCATAATAAAGAAATGCCCTAATGAAATAAACTGACACAGATTTTACAGCCCCAATCACCTTTTTCTTTAAATTTAGTGTAATGAGAAACACTCATGACTACCTCTGCACTGAAAGTAGATGGAACCTTCCTGTGTGTTCCAAACTAAGGCTTGATCATCTTGTCCACCCGTCACAGCAATGTTGCTGAAGACTGGGTTAACTCTTGTACAGATCACTGCAAAACAGAACAAACATTTGACTTCAATAGAACTATATAATAACTTCAATATAACTCAGGGGCATAGCGAGGGGGGGGGGGAGTGACACCAACGCAAAAAATAGCAAAATATATAGTGAAAAACTTGAGGAGGGGTGCAAATCGTAAGTTTGAGGGGGGGGGGGGGGTGCAAATAAAAAACTTGATGGGGGGGGGGGGGTGTGTGTGTGCAAATCGAACACTTGAAAGTTTGTCCCCGGGAAGGGTTGCAACGCCTCTGGTGGGGTGACACCATTAAGTGCCGCACTGGGTGACACCCGACCTCGCTACGCCACTGATATAACTATATAACAATTATAAAAATGTTTTAATATAAATGTAACTTACAACACCTATTGCACGTATCATTTACCATTTTTATCTCACTATGGAGAATGGAGTACTTTGACCGATACATACAGTTTTATTTTTCACATTTTAAAAAAAAAAAATGAAATAATGGTAACGTTAGCTGCAACTAACCAGAGGAGTCCTTGTGACCTATGAAAGTAAGTGAAGAATCATCTTGTTGAGGTGCAGATGCTGCTTCTTCTGTGTCCATCTCATTCTCATCTATATCAAAATGGTAATTTGAACTTTAACTTGCCTCATAAACATAAATCAGCGCAAATTATTATCATTTTGCATTCTGATAATACTAGCATTCAAATTATTTCAGATAGCAGTAGGCCCTGAGCATACCTCAGTGCATAAACATTTATATCTGAATTGCGGACAAAGTCACTTTAGTTTTTCCTTAAACCAAGTAATATGAAAAATGTACTTGGAGTCACTGTGAGTTCATAATGAGGAGAATTCATATCATAAAATTGATAAATTAACACATTTTTTCCCAAACCAAGCAATAAGAAAAAGGTACATAGGTTCATTGTGAGTCCACATAAGCTTAGGCTTATAACAATATGACGCCCACTATGAGTATTTGTGTGACTTTGTCATAAAGAAAACAGGATATTGGTAAATTGTGAGATGTGAAACATCAAGGTGGTAAACTGCGAGAAGGGCGCGAAAACCATCTCACATGACATTTTTGTCTCACATATTACCAACAGTGATATATGATGTAGACTTGTATTGTTAAAACTTCGCTAGACATACTGATGATTTTTCAACTTGCCCATCTTTTGTGTTGACTTAAATACCACCTTGTTCAAACTGCCCAAAATAGATCAATTTCTTTCTTTTGTGTGGAACATAAAGGCCGTCTGATTTATGGTTTTTAACATCACCGTATTCAAAGCCTCTGCCGCCACAAACATATGTTGCATTGTTGCAAAGAAATTTGGTACTATTACTGACACCAGCGATTTTTTTTCAGCGTATAACTATAAGCTTATAGAAGTGCACAATGCCCACACATTGTTTTTTTAGTTTGTTTTATTTTACTTGGTTTAGGGAAAAAATAAAAGTGAGGACACTGACAGTATCAGTTGATCATGCTATACACTTTTTAAATTGTTATTTATATGAACTCACAATGACTCCAAACACGTTTGTCAAATTCCTAGAAATGCGAGTGTGCTAGATTTTAAAAAATGTTGTCTAAATAATATTCTCTTGATGAACTGCGGGATTTTTCTCCCATGACAAAAAAAAAACGAGAGCTGGCGATGATAGTGGAAACGATGTTATTATTAAGATATTTTAAGATATATATTTTAAAAATCAACACTAGATCAAGATATTTTTTTTTAAATTGATGTAAGACAGGGGTCTCCAAACTTTTCAGTCCGAGGGCCGCATTACCCATCAAATTTCAGTTCGGGGGCCAGTTTCTTCCAGGCATGTCTTTGATTTTTCTGGGCAAAGTTCCTCAGCCATCACCAACAGACGATGTTTCCTTGGACAAAAAGATCTCCGCGGGCCGGATGAGAGGACTTCGCGGGCCGCATCCGGCCCGCGGGCCGTAGTTTGGAGACCCCTGATGTAAGAGCTTGATTAGTTGCTTTCCATCAAGGATTTTTTATGGAGTGAATTTGTATGTTTCAGTAGGCTGCAACATGTATCTTTTTGTTTAGTTTATAAATTTAAAAAAAAAGCATGAAACAAAAGTTTTCCACGCAAACTGTGTCTTCCCGTGCACCTGTGATTCCACAGGTATGTCTCACATTTTTTTTCTTGCAGTTTACCCCCTCAACATTTCACGTTTTGCAATTTACCAACACCCAAGAAACCGAGGTCTAGAGATGTAACATACATTATTTTTATGGAACGGTAATATTTAACAATAAGCCTTCTTTCTTGTAAATTTATCAATAAATTTGAATATGCAGGCCTGAGAAATTATCAGCGGAAAATTTTGGACTGATATACTTAGTATTATATATGCCTACTTCGGACTAGGCCTCAAATAAGAGCAGAATTTAATAAATTACGTTTACGCATAGGTCCTATCTGTTAACTTAAGATCTTTTAAAAGTATCTATATATATAATTCTCTTCTGGGAGACGCTAGAAAACAAGCTGTAAGCGCGCTCCCTAGGGAGAAAGGAGGGTGGGGGTAGTATCGTCGACCTACTGATAGTGTTTTAAAGCAAATATTTTCAGTGGCAGCATTGGTATTGTCGAATTCACAAATTATGAATTACTGAAAAGTAGAAAATAAAACAACTAAATAGTGGCATATGATATGCCGTAGGTCGGCTCGTTTTTTTATAAAAGTATTTTTATTACTATTATTAATTTAGTAAAAATTAATGCTATGTTCATTCAAAGTGACTACTTGGAAAAAGATTTTTTGCCCCAGCGTCTACATCTGGTCAGCATAAGATATGAAACTCAATAGTTCTGTGCCAGTGTTTCTTCTAGACTTTTTTCTCCAGGGGGGGGGGGGGGGGGGGGCACTTGAAATTTTTGGGGGGGGTGGTCAACATTTTTCAGGGTGGGAGGACACTAGTAAAAGTGTATATGTTAGTCGATCTCCTTACCAAAACCGGAAGTCAGAACCTGACCCTGAAACGTCATGCTCTTTTAGTTTTCGCATTTTAAGTGTTTTTGGGGGGTCCTATATACAAAAAATGAAAAAACTGCTAATCTAGCAATATCTCATCACTATTTTAATGCGAAATGCTAAGGAAATGGATACTATGGCTTAAATGCCAGAAACATTTGCGAGATATGTAGTAATAATTAATACAAGCATTTCTTATGGAGCACTCTCATTAGGAACTGAACTGCAACGAAAAACGACCGACCACCGGGCATCAGCGCTCGACAGCTCCTAGATAAATATATATTTGAGATATTTACCATGATTAATTACAATGATGCTGCTTCCCTTCTTCCAAAATCCAATTCCCCATAGAAATACCATGCCGCTGCTATTTTTAGCAACGTTACGCCATTGTTACGCTAGTTGTCAGATAGAAACAACTAATTTTTGTTTTTTGCGGAATGCACTGTTAAGTCTAGTATTTTAATTATAATTCAGTTTTAGCATGTGCAGAAATTGTGGGCATTATTATTGTATTAAAGTATTAGTAATTTTATAAGTATATTGATTTTTTTTCTTCACTGCAAGCCAAGTAGGCCGACTGCACTGTTAGTTTCATTGAACATAATTCGTGACCGGTCATTAACCTTGTTAATATTAATACTTCGTGGCCTACCCGACTGTATAATTTATATGAAATTATATGTAGTTTTTAATTAGGCCTTAGTATTGTATTTTAAACAATGCTCATTCCGAGCCTTTTTGTGCTAGATCTAATTAGGCCTACTGGCAATTTTTTTTTTATTTTTAGACTTGGTCAACCTCGTTAATGCTGTTGTGTTAGTTAAAAATATAGGAATTGTGTGTAAAATTTACGCAGTTACTCAGTTACTACGTAGAATGATATCAATAAATGAAGTAGTAATTATTTCCTTTTAGTTTTAGCAATCTTTTGATACAAAATGTCTAATATTTTATTTTCCAATACATCGTGATGTGTGGCAGAGTAAACAGAACGGTGCGGTAGGTGACCTAGAATCTCCGAGTTCGAATCCGACGTAAATCAGTTGTGCTTTATTTTATTGTTTCACATGGGAAATGCCACGAGCGGTTTTATTTTCTTTCTTTTTCAAAAAAATTTTTTTTGAACGAAATAATATTTTATAAAATAATTATTCAAAATTTTCCAAACATCGTCGCTCGCATCGCTCGCGAGATCGACTGCTTACATTTTCTTGTCTGCGGGAGAAAAATGTTGACACGGTCGAGGGTTCACCGTGAGTTCAGCAGGCCTGCCATACATACGTCACAGCATTAACTATTGCTGTTAGAGATCGTCGGTGGGCAATCCCACCCCTCCCCTCATAAACCAAGCAAATTGTAAATCAACTTAGGGTCATTTTAAGTTCACGCAAGCTTACAGGACTGTAGATTTACTACGCATAGCTGGTAAAAAAAAAAAAAAAAAAAGAAAACTTCGCCTAACCTAATGCTACTACAGAAGAGAATATTAATTATAGAGTATTTAATTTTAAAGTTAAAAAAAAGTTCATTTATCATCTTACCTAATAATACTGTATTGTCGTTACAGTTAGAAGGACTAGATCTAGATTTCTGTCAGATCTATTTTTAGTTTTGGATATTAATTTTATTGTCATCTTCATGGGTATTGATTGTTCAATTCATCATGGAATGCCTAATGTCTTAAATTGTACATTGTACATAGAATTTATAATAAATATGTCTGATATTTCCTTAATAAACATAATGAATATAAAGTTTTATTTCTAACAAAATGTTTTGGTTTTTTTTGGTAACTAAAATACCCAATGTTGTCGTAATTGCTATGACATCATGCTACGAATGGAAAACACAAACCAACGTAACTTTTTGATATCTTTTGATGGCGAAAAAGAGTTTCGCATTTTAAGATGTTAATAGGTCATTTTGTTTTTGTTTGTTTTCTCGGCCCCTAATTAAGCTAGACCATTAAATTTGGTCTCAAATTAACCAGTAAGTGATATGGTTTGTAATGATATATGATAAGTTAAAGAAAATTTTAATTAAAAAATTGTAATAAGACAACCTAGTGTATATGTTTATAAAATCCATCTTGTTCGGGGGGCGGTAGACTTTTTGGGGGGGGGGGGGGGTCTTTGCCCCCTCCCCCCCCCCCCCTTCCAAAGAGATGCCTGGAAGAAACTCTGTTCTGTGCATGCATAGTGACCCTAATAGCTGCACTAGGGTGTTTTGCGGTTTGTTTGTAAATACATGCATGTGCAGTACCATCAAAAACATTGACGCGAATGAAGGTGGAAGTTTCTCTCCATTGCCCATCTGACTTGTTCATTAGCCACCATTTCAGCACAATAGATAAAAGCATATCGGGGGTCGATTGCCAGTACTATTTACTATTTACTTATTTTTAAAATATTTTAATATTTTTTTTTTATTTAGGCCTACCTCCTGCAGATTCCTGCGAATCGTCGTCATCTGGATTGCCATTATTTTCTCCCAATTCTATAACTTGGACGATTTCGTCGGGATCTAAATTGAATTCTTCTTCTTCCTGGTCAGCCATACCCGAAATATTGAAATTGAATGTCTACTATTGATAAATTCTAGACATAGATCTACTGATCTCTAGATCTGGTTTTACTTGTGTCTTCTACTTTCTTTTAGTGCAAGAAAACATAGTCAAAACAAAAGCACGTTTGACTTCCGGTAAGTGTCGGTGTCTTAGGTTTTAAAAAGGCATTATGTTTAAACGATTTAATTTAAGCTTGGAATAGAAAAGTTTCTTTCTTAAGTTTAGGTTAAATGCAGAATTTTATTTTTGAAAAAAAATTATGATTGGTTTGAGTATAAGATGATTTTAATCTCTTCACATTAAAAACATCATTGCACCATAATTTAACGCTTAATTTTTATAGGTTATAAATACTTGTACACCGCTATAACGTTAGTGATTTCCAGAATCTAAAGAGTCATGACCTCTTTTCCTAATTATTTATAGTCAACAACAATTTCTAATAATATTAATATAGATCTAGATCTAATTCAAGTATTCAATTATCCGTATTATATTAATTAATTATATTATTGGATCTAGACTAGATCTAGATCTACTCATTAACAGTTCAGTTAGATCTAGATTTGCTTTTTATTTGGTGTTGAAGATGAAGTTCACTCCCAGCATGAAAATTGCAGTAGGGTGGTAAGTCTGACTGACGACTGATTAAAAAAAAATAGATCTAGATCTAGGGTATTCTAGAGTAAAGTGCCGTATGCGGACAGTTTCCCCTGTGTGGACACCTTGCTGTTTTCCTTACATAATAATTGTATGAATGTTTTATACGAAACTACCGCAAACAACACTACGCATGTCTTAACACATCTGGGTCAAGTTCTTCTATTTCACTCAATAGAAAGATTAATTGGAATTTTTCAAAGTTGCGATGTATGACGTTTTATGTAGGTAACCTCACCCGGATGAAGAACACTAGGCCCCGGATTAGAGGAATAAATCGAACCAATCATAGCTTAGTATTATCTCCCCTGAGTCGCCGGTAGTTGGATGCATTGGTGTTTTTTGAAAATTTTTGCTGTGGCGCTAATTTCAATGTAAAATCGGTAGTTCACAATTGTTCTGTAATGTTCTCACACACGTTCCTGATTTCCCTTTGTTTTACCTTATTCTTGAAGTTTTCATCCCCAAATATTTTTTACGAGAAAAATGGCCCGTTGAGGAAGGATACAACGGGCGCTAGGTCTATAGTGCTGTCTATTTTCTCGGTACTTTAATTTATACAAAATATAGTCATAGGCATATCCCTAAACCATGTACCTAATCTCATTCATGACAAAAGTCGCATTTAGAGTTTCTTTCAGGCAACTCACTCACACTCCAAAACATGTCTACCGTCCCATTCAACGAAATATAATTATATACTTTTTCCAGTGTCCGCCCCCTCCCAGAAAATTCTACCCCCGCCCCCGAAAATTTCATGTACCCCCACCCCTCTCCGGGGAGGAAAAAGTCTGAAAGAAACACTGGTCGCATTTGTAGATCATACAAACTAAAGGAAGAATCTAGGCGGGGCTTCGCCCCTACCGGAAGAGATGCTTGAAAAAAAAACTGCACTCTAAACACTTTTTACATTAGAAAAAGTTCCCCCCCCCCCCCCCCGGGGAGGAAAAAGTCTGAAAGAAACACTGGTGTCGCGCTTAGCCACTACCCAAAGAATTGCATTAAAGAAATTGCAAGAAAACCACTTTTTAGATTAGACATATTAATTAGGCGGTAATTTTATTATAGAGTATCGATGAAGAAATTTCTTTTGAGTTGGGGAGGGGGGGGGGGCTCAGACGTTCTTACGCGGGGGGTTGGGGCTTCGCCCCTACCCGAAAAATTGCAAGAAAGTAACTCTTCACGCAAACCACTTAGATTAGACAAAATTGCCTTTTTATTCAATGTTTACTCGAGAATCAATGATGTCATATTACTGTGCGCACTCTCCGGCTTGATATTATTTTCTTCTATATGCTCAATATGACGTATACCTGTAGACTAGTAATAGTCCTTACTTTTGCATATAGTATAGATCTATTTGGTAACTTTTAATACGTAAACAGGAAACAGTAGGCGAATTCGGCTATCATAAACACATTGCGCTCACTTCTATTTATGAACTTTACACTATATTGTAGACTTGTCATAACATTCTAGTCGGCTACAATTATACTAGTATTACTAGTATTTGTGTACTGAATGACTAGGCTTTTGTTTGTTTATGCGGCTCATTGTAAGTAATAGCTATTTGAAGCTTCCAGCAAAAGCATGTTCAGTCCGGCAACCATTGCTACACCAGAATGACCACAGACAAGAATTAGAGAGCATGACATGTCGGCAACTTTTACTGTGATTGAGGTCTAAGATGTGTTCCGATAGAAAATCCAGTAAAAATTGTACTCAAAATATACTTTTGTGCTGTATTTATGTGTGAAAATGCAAAAGTGACTGTTATAATGGTTGCCATGTTATTAGTTAATAAATTGTATCGTTTGTTCCTGTTTTGTAAAAAAAATGTTTTTTGGAAAAAATGTCCTACTTTCCTGATGGTACTTATAAGTAGCAATATCTGTTTAGGCCATTAAAAATTCATGAATCGAAATTTCCTTCGACATATTCTTTAAATGTGCCAAAAGCAATATGATAACACATAGTTTAAGAAAAAATTTCATTCAGAACCTAATTCCGTAAATAAAGGGTTAACTAAAAAGGAGCTTTGAACTAATCTTGATACTCCAGATTTATATTTAAATTTAAGTCTAAATCTAGATCTATAAGTTTTTTGTAATGTTTTAGGTTTTAAAAATATTTTAGATCATCAAACATGAAGTAAAATCTCAACAGGATCCTGAGTTTCTTTCAGGCATCACTTCAGCAGCCCCCCCCCCCCCCCCCCCCACGTAAGAAATGGAATTTATATAGAAAACATACTTTTACCAGTGTCCCCCCTTCCCCAAAATATCAAGTGTCCGTCCGTCCCGTTCCCCCACCCAGCCCCCGTCCCCCGAGAAAAAAGTCTGGAAAAAACACTGATCGGGTCTCACATGACCCTGAAATTGTTAAAACTGACATAGCAACCTTCCTATTCAATCAATTATCAGTAAGAGAAGTGGCTTCATGTTTATTTAATTACTGTAAATTGATACTGTATTTCTACATCTCAGTTTAGAAAAAATCTAATCTAGATCTAGTTGTTAAATTTAATTAAAACTTATTTCATATTTCTTCATATTTTTTGTTTTCCAATATATTAATATATAAAACTATCAACAACACTATTTATGTGTGTAAAATATTTATTTCAATCATTTAAATAGAAACAAAACAAACAAAATATGCTTTGTCCACATGCATAAAGAGCAATTGTCAGCGCAGAAAATAAAATGTAAAAAAAAGTGCGCTTAATGTCCGCACATAATCTCACCACTGAAAATGTTAATACATCCAATGCTATGCGTATGAATATAAAATGAATCATACGTGATTACACTAGAAAGACTGCGGAGTAACACAGTAATTTCAGTTTGTTTCTATGTTAAACGGTTACTGAATGGCGCTCAATGGAAATCAGGAGTTCCGATTTTTTTGCTACGTCTGTCCGTAGACGCTACTTTACTCTAGTTACTACTAGTTAGATCTAGTAGTTAGTAGGCCTATTAGTTAGGGCCTACCAATTTTAATTATAGCCTCTCAAAATTAATCAGTAGCCAAGAAATGGATTTTGGAAAGATTTGAAAAAGCATGTTTGTTTTTAATGCTACACGCTATTACTGATATAATGCCAATACAGTGGGTTCGTTTTTAAAGTGGGCTTAGTTGGCTGTTGTCTTGATCAAGTTCCTATTTTGTATGAATTTATTTTTTACCTCTGCAGAATATTTTAAACTAATGAAATTAGTTTGGTAGGACGTAATATGTAATTTCCTATTAATAACACAAGTTTGAGTGTTGTCAGAATAGTATTAAAATTATTAAATGCAGTTATTAATGTTACAGTTGTTTTGATTAAGTGACAATCTAACTAAGAAAGATTAGGCCCCTAAATATAGAATATTTGGTAGGCCTAATCTATCGTTTTAGGTACGTAAAATCACCCTCGGCTAGTAATGTACAAAAAAGTTACCTCATTGTCAAGGCTTTAAAAGAAAGTATATTGTGATATATTTGTGTCAAATATTATAGATAAATGAATAATAAACCTAAATAAATGGCTAATTATATATTAATATAGGCCAGAAATCAACTTTAAACAAGTGTTTGCAAGCAAGATTTGCTATATAAACAGCAGCCATTTGTAAAATAGAGTGTCTTCCCCTGACGCGCGCTATAAGTTAACAAAAAAAAACTTAAACAAGATGGCTGCTATAGTAAATGAACAGGGTTGCATCTCTTGGAAACATCGCTAGTCTTCATTTATTACTGAAAAGTTTTAATTCATTTGTTTAAAAACAGGTACATAAATAAAACTTTGAAACATTTTTGTAAATTTCAAAACTAAAAACCTCCTATAAATGTGAAATTATTATTAAAATTTAAGGAATCACCTGCTTTTCACATTACTAGTCGCGTTTGATTTTACGTACCTAAAGCGATACATTACAGAATAGATTACCGAATATTTTTATATAATATCTTCTTGTAGGCCTACGACTTACTAGATCTAAATTCTATACCTAAATTCTTGATCTAGTGTTTTTAGATATAGTAGTTTTACTGTTAGATTTCTAGTGTTTACATTTACGTAGATTGCAGACTCTTGTTAGTTTGTTTAATTCGTCATAGTCATAGGTTGAGGATTTTAGATTTTGATCCACAGAATTAAAAAATACTAGGGTTGCTAGCGCAGTCCAGTCACTGACTAGATATTAATAATATTATAATTATTTATAAGTATTTTAAATGTCTCAAATTATTTAGCCCACTGGCCTGCCGGTAAACCCTACTAGAATTATTTTCATATATCATTAAGTTGATCTACTCTAATAGAATAGTAATATTAGCTAATAATAGTAAAATGCAATGAAACTTATACCAGAATCATCCTTTTTATAGGCTTTGTTTTTCCCTAAAGTTTTGTTTTATTTTTTATTATTTACCTATACTTCATTCACCATGTTTTAATAACCTTCGTTGTACTTGTTTTGTTCCCCCTCAGGACTGTAGTTATTGCTGTTGGTTTGAGCAGTTTTGTTTTAGCAAGGGACTCAGTGGTTAGCAACAGAAAAGCATTGTTAGACATGAAAAAAAGGATACGAGACCAAGCAAAGAAAGAAGCAGAAATTGAAATGGAAAGAAAAGACAAAGAAAGAGAACTAAATTCAGCTGCTAAAATTGTTTGATAGTTATTGTATGCTGTATTTATTGCAATATAGTTGAAATGAAATTTAATATTTTGATATGGTGCCCATTGTTTTAAGTACATTAAAATTAAATATCTATATTATGTGTTTTATTTTTCAATCAAATTTTATATAACAAGGCATGAGGGAATGAAAGTGTTTCAGTAAACTAAAGTTTGTCCCGGGTGGTAGTGAGGGTGGTAGTGAGCGCTTGATGACTGCTAACTGAGGGTATTGAGTTCGGATCTTGGACTCAACCACCCAGCTTTGAAGGGTACCTGACTCAGTTATGGAAAGGACAGGTGGCTGGGCATAATGCTGACCACACTATGTCCGTTCTTTCTTTACGCTTAAGGATGGTTCTTGTCAACAAAATATTCCTATTTCCTTAGTGTCCAACATGCTTACATTTTAATGTCTGATTTTATATTTATTAATCTATTGTAATTTTATGATGCATTACTTTTATCAGCTATCAATATTTAAAAACTGATAATAAGAAAATAACAAATTGGCCTGTTAACTGTAAAAACAGCTGTTTTCATTTAATTAAGGTTCTTAAAAATATGTACACCTCTTTAAATTAATACCTTTTAAACTCCCAATGAGTTGCACAGTCCAGGATGATAACATTCTGCTAGCTAGCCAAGCCTACAAACAATGAAGCAGACACATAAACTATTAATTAATTCACCATACTGTTATGTATAAGTTCCCTTAAAGTTTATATAACTGCAATTTGTTACATAAAAAGGCTATATTCACACTACTGCAACTACAATATTCATTTTTGATTCAGTAAATAGTTTTACAAAACAAAAGGAGAATAAAAATCTACATGTATACAAAGTATGGAGAAAATTTAAAACTATTATTTATGTTACATTTATGTTTATTCACAATAATTTACAACCATAATCTATTTTAATACAAAGCTTGGGAATTTATTTAAAACATGTAAAATAAAACTTTTATATCATTAATACTTATCTAGATAATACACTGCCTGTCTACTTAAGTCATTTTTTCACAAAAAAAAACAGTAATCTGCTTTAACTTCAAGAGATTGCTAATGAAATAGCATTTATGAATTTCAAACAAGGTAGGAATAGGAATTTAATCTTCCTCTTTACCTGCAAATAACTTGCACAGGAGACAAATAAGCTGTTACTACATACTACATGCAAGATAAGTTAGTGACTGATCCAATTAACTATTACAATTTCAATACTGAAAAGTTGCATTACAGTTACAGATGCACACATCTAACTACAAGGTGGTTCATTAATTACAGAATTACAATTCATAATATTGGTAAAAATTAGAAGTCATATAGCAATAATTATACATAACATTTCATTGTTACAGCTGATTTTAATGTTGAGTCCTCTCCTCTTACATTCATCAGTTATTATCACACTCAATTACATTCATCACTCAGCATGTTTTATCATTTCTTGGTAAAATTTTTATCTAATTCCACTCTGGTCCTCTGGATGTTGTATTTGTTTCTCTTCAGTCTGTCTTCCACTGAGCTGGATGAGGCATGGTTCACCATCATTGAACTGAAATATAGAAAAAAGTTTTCAATATCATTTTTGCTCAGTAACAGTAACAAAATGGGAACATGTTGCCTAGTGGTAGAGTGAGCTACACTGCAAACATGGAAGTCTCAAGTTCAAATCCAAGTTCAATTCAGTAGACCCTCCCTGAATCCACCCAGCTCTGATGGGTACCTAACTCACGTTATGGAAAGTAAAGGTAGCTAGGAGTCACAGAAACAGGTTAAATCTACTTCACTTGCAACATCAGATTCAAAAAGGGAACTTTACTTGTACTCTAGCAGTAACAACTGTACTAAAAGCTATCACAGTAGTGAGCTGAATTTCATTGAGTAATGTCTCTCTTACCAATATGCAAAAGAAATTCTTAACTTATAATATAGTTTGCTGAATTTAAATTATGAGAAAAAATTCCTTACATAACACTTGTTTAAAACATTTTTAAAATTTAGATTATTCTCAGTGCAGGTCATTACATATTTTTTTTAACAGACCAGTGATTGTAAATCCCTGATAATAATTTGGAATAAACAATCTATAAATCGGTTTAAATATAGGATATTTTTTGAAAAATTACCTGAGGAAACCACCTCCTTGCCTCTCTTTGTCTTTTTTCTCTCTCTCCATCTCCTCTTCTTTGTATCTCTTGACATTAACCCCCCTCTGCTCTTCTCTCCATTCAGCATTGTGCATCATCTCCTCTAACCTTTGTTTTTTCTCCTCTTCAGTCAACTTTCTGGAGATTCAACAAATAAGTAAACCATCTTTACATTTTTCAATGATCCAACAGTATAAACATAGAAGATATTTTGAACTCGGTCAGAATTAAGAAAAAGGGAACAACTCCAAATGCAGTGGGTGGTGTTAAAAAAAAGACAAGTAAAAAGTAACTAGCAGCACACAAAAATTTTTGCAACTAACAGCTGTTTAAAACATTAAAAAGTCTGAACAAAAGATAAAAACTACTACTAATAGGCCTAAAAATAATGTTAAACAATATATCTAAGAATTTCAAAAGCATAAAAAGTTAAGATCTTACAGTTCTATTACAAACCAATCAACAAAAACCTGCAACTACCTTTTTGGTGGAGAAGGCACTCGTTTGACTGGTTTAGGTTTTGCTGCCGGTGCAAGTTTTCTATGTCTAGATGGTGATGATGATGAGGAAGACGAAGATGAAGTCGATGATGATCGTTTTGTTTTTCTTGATAGTGACTGGCTTGAGCCTGAGATCTGAGTATTAAGAAAAATATTGTCAGTATTATATAAGGAAAACAGCACTGTATTATTTAGCTACGTATTGTATTTAATATGCCAGAAAAAAATATTAATTTGATTTGACAAATAATATTCTTAATTTAAGTTTAGTTACATTATACCATTTTAAAATTAATATTTTATGCAATAATAACAGAATTAGATCTATATTCTGGACTCTAAAAGTTTAAATACCACAAAATATGAAGCTGATATTTTCATGCAATGCACTGTACTAGGATGTCACTAACCAGGGGTTTTTAAAACAAATCTTTGAGGGTACACATTTTTGGAAACAAAGTTTACTTACTATAAGGCCATACTGCCTGCCTGTTACCAATGGGGAATCCTTTTTGTTCCCTTCTTCACTAGAAGAGGAAGAATCTGACGAAGAACTTTGACGTTTTTTGCTTTTTTGTTTGGGTTTTTTTCTACTTTGTGCCCTCTCCTCACTAGAGCTACTAGATGATGAATTTCTTTTCTTGTGTTCAACTACCTTGAGCTTGTCTTTGCCTCTACTTCTGTTCTGTTCAACAGGAGATGAAGATTGTTTACAATACTTCTCTCTAGAATTCTTTCGACCATTTTCAGCTGAAATTCTCTTAGGCTGTTGTTTCTCCTCACTGCTGCTTCTACTTCTTCGTGACTTTTTTTGGGCCTCCTTCCCCCTACCCTGTCTGCCCTCTTGTCTTTGACTGTTCCGTGGACCGTTTCCTTTTCTAGTGTCATATGACTGATCAGGACTTGGGGTTCTTTGAGACCTAGACCTATCAGGACTTCTACTTCTTTGGGACCTAGACCTGTCTGCACTTCTACTTCTTTGAGACCTAGACCTATCAGGACTTCTACTTCTTTGGGACCTAGACCTGTCTGCACTTCTGCTTCTTTGAGACCTAGACCTATCAGGACTTCTACTTCTTTGGGACCTAGACCTGTCTGCACTTCTGCTTCTTTGAGACCTAGACCTATCAGGACTTCTACTTCTTTGAGATCTATCTCGATAGTTCTGTCTTTTTGGACTTGTATCATTGGACCTCTCCCTTGCCCTGTCTCGACCCTGAACTCTAGAGTCCTCTTTTCTCTCCCTCCTATCTCTATCCATTTTATCTCTCTGCTCCCTTTCACTCTTTCCAAAACCAGTCTTCTCTGTATCTCTAACCTTATGTCGACTACGCTGTTTATTTACTTCTTCTTCACTTTCCTCTTCACTATCATCATCTTTCTTATTTTTTTTCTTCATTGGCTTTTTACCTGGCCCTTGATCTGGTGCCTCCTGCTTTGATGTTAAAATAGAAAGGTACTTTTTCACTAACTCGTCGTCACTGCCATCGCTGTCATCACTATTTTTAGCAGCCTTTTTGTGCTTCCTTTTCTTTTTTGACTTTTTCTTCATCTTCTTGTCCTTCTTTTTTTGTTGCTCATCTATCTAAGAAAAATTGATAAGTTATTATTCATGTTTTATGTAATTTGTTTTTTAAAATACGTACAATAACAATTTAGTAAAACTAAGTAAAAGAAATTAACATTTCTAAACTACTTAAAAAAACATTACCAATTTTTGAAGTTCTTTCATTTTTATTGGATTTTCTAGCAGTTTTTTTCTAGAGTCTTCCTCTTTCCTCCTGTTCAAGTAATAAAAAAAAAAAAAAGCTACATCTCATCATGAGCTTAATATTAATAATATAGGATTAGACCTAACCTATACAGTTCTGTCATTGCAATAACTTCTTTATAACTTTTGTATTTTTACAGTATTGAAAGAACACTATAATCCCTGGAAGCACACCAGTGCTGATATCAGATTTTATGACATTAAGCATTAATTAGAGCTATGCATTTCACATGATAGAGTTAAATCAAAAATAAACTAATTCAATTATTTAAAATATAGTTTCAATAAACAATACTGGAAAATGTTATTCACCTGTTTTTGAATGTGTTATGTGAAACATATTTACATTTGAATACAACAGAGAAATAAAATAGCCTGGAACACAAACCTTATGGCAAACAATGGATCTTCCCTCATCTTTGCTGCAACATCCAACGCAATATTGGCCTTGATTCTCTCGCCAAAAATAACACTGGCTTCATCTAAAGAAAATATTTTAATCAATTTCATTCATTCAATTTTTTTAACAATGGTTTAAAAATTCGTTTCATAATTTTAAAATCTTGCATGAATATTAATTAGCCTTACTCCATAAAAAAAAATTTCATTGCAAAAATGCAGTTTAATTTTAAGTTAGTAAGATAATACAAGAGCTAACCATAGACAAAGTGCTAACAAAGATGTTTGAATCTTGCAACTAATAAAATAGTAATATCAGGACAAAAATAAACACAGCTTTGGTCTACCAGTTTACCTGTTGTTATGATTATGGTATATTAATTGACAATGAGACCAGCATAATGACCAGATATTACTTGTATAACTTTTGTCAACCAAAAGTCTAGATCTGATCTGTCATATAAAAAATAGATTTGAAATAACTATTTTACCACCCTTTCTCTATATCCAGATGTTAAAAACATACTTCACTGTGCTTCTTATCAAGAAGATTTCCTATTCTATTTCCACATATTAAGTACAAACAGCCACTTTGCTATTTATCAAGATGAAATGAGCTCTATTACTACCTTCTTTTTTATCCTGCTCTCCTTCCACATGCTTGTCAATACGTTTTCCCAGTAAATATTCCTCAGAATCTGGCTTATCCTCTTTGTACATCCATCCTATTCCTGTTGTTGCCTCTCTAAGAGAGAAAATTTTTTTTTACTGATCATAAACAGATAGCTTGAGCAGAGATTTAAATGTTTAAAATTCATTTGTATGTTACCAAAAACAATCTACATAACATAGTAAAGTTCCCTTTTTGATTTCCCTGAGACAGATGTGGAGGGGCATAAAAGAAAGCAACTGACAAAGGCAGGACCATTGTGGCGATATCAATGAACTGTATTTAGGAAAAACTTGCAATTTTCACTTGTTACTGCTGATTGCAACCTTGGTAACTAGTTGAGCTCTTTTGTTATTTTCAATAAAAAATATTCATAGGATTGAATGTATTTCAGTACATTTAATAAAATATTTGTATATTTACCAAAGGTAAATGTATTATTTTCTTAGATTCAGGACAAAATAATAACAAAAACCATTTAATTTTACCTTTTCTCACTCTGTAACTTTGAAATTTTTAGCCTCTCTTCAGGGTCAAGCTTATCCATATGAGGTTGTTTGTTGGGGTCGTTTCTGAAATTGAAAAAATGAATAAAACATTTAATGTTGATAATAAAGAAAAAAATATCTTCTTAAGACCTAGCGATACATTGGGCAGATGAGGTAGAGATCACATGATTCTTGACATCACCATTTGAAGGACAGGAGTGGTCAGCCCTTTTCCTAGCAGCCTTTACTTTCCCTAACAAGAGTTGGGTACCCATCAAAGCTGGGTGGACTCAAGGGCATTCTACTGACTTGAACCTGAATTCAAACTCAAGACTTTCGGGTAAGCAGCCTAGCGCTCTACCACTAAGGCCACACCGCCCCATAATGTTAATAATAATAAAGCAATATTGATTTAGGCTAGTGGGTGAATCTTCAGTAGGATTAGGTATTTAAATCAGCCATAATAAATTTGGTTTGAGATATTTACTGTTTCAGTCTGTTTTCATATAGGTTAAAGTAATTTCAGCTTGAGCAAATTGGTAGCTATATAAAAGTCTCAAGTTTAGTTCTCAAGCATAAGCAAGATTTCCTTGAGTCCACTCAGCTCTAATCAGTACCAGATTTAAGTAAGAAAACTTAAGAGAAAACAGTTGTTTTACTTCATTTGTTCTATGGACTATTGGGTCAAACAAAAATAATGTACACTTTATGAAAATAGAAAAAAGATTTGAGCTTGGGGTTAACATCAATATACTCAAATTAGTAGATCTATTTTAATCCATAGAAAACTGTTAGGTGCTCTTCTTAAATTGAATAAGTTATACTGTATTGCAAACTGTAAGAGATAAACTCAAAGTTTAAGAGTATATATATAAGTTTGGGTTAGATCAGAGTCAATTTTCTTTTAACTTATGGACTAGATATACTCACTCTCCCTACAGTTTACAATAACTGAACACTCCTCCCTCCCTTGTCAGCAGTCATTCCCCTGAAAAAAGCCAACCAACTTTGTTGTCAATATCTATTTTTATTTAACAATTTATTTAACAATTTGTTACCAGTATAGTATCAAGTATTAAAACATTTGAACATAGCACACACTTAGTCATTAATACTATTAGGTCTGTGCTATATAAACAAAATTTGTTAGCCTAGTATTTCATTTGATTGGGGTCTATGTACAATGTAATGTTACTACTATATGTGTAGGGCTAGAAGTATTTTAAAATAAATAAACAGTAGGCCTAGGTCTTGTTCTTAAAATTGCAAATGCAAATTTCTCCATTCTCCAGTATGTCAGAACCGTGTTTAAATTGATAATTGAGTAAATTGTAGATTTTAGTAAGAAAATCTAAGTAATAGGGGCCTAGTATAAATAAGTAAGCAATGTCTAGGTTAGAAAATTAACCAAACAGGATTATTAGGCCTAATAATATTATTAATAGGCAATAGGTCTAATAGGTCCTTCAATAAGTAGGCCCTATTATCTACATTCTACTCTACATGTAAAATTACATTCTAATGTAACATTATGATTATCTACTATCTATATATATAATTCTCTTCTTGGAGACGTTAGAAAACACCAAGCTGTAAGCGCACCTAGCAGTCCCCTCTCTTCCTCTCTAGGCATATCGCAACCACTCCCACCCCCGCATGGTCTGGTGAGCTGTGGTACACGCTAAATGTTTACAATCGTAGACCCGGGTTTAGTGACGCCTATTAGGGGCAGATAATTTACTTTGAAACTATTTTAAACTTAGGGGAGGTAACTAAGAGGAGGCTGCTTTCAGTGGGGGACGGGGGCTGGGGGAAAGGAGGGTTTTAGTGTTTTAAAGCAAATATTTTCAGTGACAGCATTGGTACTGTCGAATTCACAAATTATGAATTACTGAAAAGTAGAAAGAAAAAACTAAATAGCAGCGTATGACGTCATTTTAGGGGGGGGGGGTGTCTGGCTTTTTGCTACGTGTGATGATGGAAGGGGAGGGGGGAGTAAAAATTATCAAAAAAGCGTGACGTCATTTAAACATTTATGGATGACCCCCCAAGCTAGTTTTAAAATTTAGATAATCTAGATCTAATAGATATCTAGATATTTTTACTTTCTGTTCTTTGTTTTAGAAGACTGGCTCAGCTTAGTTAAATAAAGATAGGCTGAACTCAAAGACGACTAAAAAAAGACTTGTTTTAGGTCTTAGAGTCACTGAACTGCACTGTGATGACTGACTGTGACTGTAGGACTAGATCTAGGTAGTGTGATACTACTGTACTGTAACTGTGTGACTCAGACTGCGAGGTAAGGTGAAGGGGGATTTTTTTACACCAGTGTCTGATAATAGAATCTTCTTAAAAAGGGGGTGTTAGGCGTTAGGTTACTCAAAGTTACTGGTAGTTTTAGTTAACTAAAATACAAACATGGCTTGCTATTGTGACCGAATACTATTGTCGATGCTAACCCTAGTCCCTAAGGCCTAATCTAAACCCTATCCCCAACCCTAACCCCACCTCTAGTCCTACCATACTACCATATGCCTAACCCTAATAATTTCTAACTATAAAACTAATCGAGTTTACAATACTACACTACTAAGATTTAAGAACCAAACCACTTCAACCAGGTAAGGACGAGGAGTGAGGAGGAAAGAGTCCAACAAATTTTATTTGTGGAGTTTGTGTTCAGTTTAAAGTTTAAAGCTTTTAAAGGTATAGATCTAGATCTAAGTTAGTATTTAATCCTAGATCTCTAAACTAGATTAACTAACTGGCTGAATAATAGAGCTAGATGTACCTGCTGTATAAAAAGAAAAGTAACACTAGTGACTAGTCTATCGGGTCTCGTTTTAAAATAAAAACACACTATTACACAGCCCGTAATCTTTTTTGTTCCATGTTTTTTATCACTTATAGAATTATGTTTTCGCCAAATAAGTAAATAATGTATTCGCGTTTGTTTTCGAAGCCTAACACTATATAATAAATACTGGCATATGTAGGTGCAATGTTTAAATTGACTATCGTGTACAGTGTTTCTTCCAGACTTTTTTCTCGGGGGGGGGGGGGCGGTAGACTCTTTGGGGGGGGGGGGGGGCGGACACTGATCGTGTAGACAATTATGACATTGCGGATAAATGCAAAATGCGATATGTTCGCCTGAACCCTAACCAAAGCACTTAGGCCCGACCAAAATAGATGGTAGCTTAGTATGTCTTAGCCCGTATTCCTTAAATCTAAGCTTTCTACCTGACAGACTATTAGGCTAGTTTATACGGAACAAACATTTTCATTGGAAATGGTCAGAAATTCCTTCCCGAGTAACTAAACGTGTTTTGCCTTTTAGCAATGTAATCTGTTAAAGTATTAGGCCTACAGCTTTAATGAATTAAGAACAGGTATATTATAGTATATTGTAGGGAAGTTGTAGCAGTAGATAGATCTAAATGACAAGCTGCCAACTTGTTTTCCCACCATGTCCAGGGGTTTTATTCTTCCGCAAAAATAAATTTTAAACTGTTTTTTTTTTTAGCTTTTGCATACAATAGAAGACATTTCAATATTAAAATAATACAAGTATGCTTATAAATGGCATTTGAGCTGTAATGAGGCCTACTACATTTGTGGGCATTTGAAAAGGTAAAGGACGGGAAGGATATTTCCAAGACTGAGCGCTAGACTAGATCTAAAGAAGATTTTTAAAATCTTTACAGCGAAGTGACCATACCTGTTCATGATTTCACAATGCAGTCGCGAACATGGATTGATAGTGGTAATCTTTTGTGTTCTAAAATAATGGGGGATTTCAAAGCGTGGAATGTAGAGCTTAAACCGGGGACCAAAACGTAGCTAGAGTGCCGACCAGTGTTTCTTCCAGACTTTTCTCCGGGGGGGGGGGTACTTGAAATTTTCGGGGGGTGGCGGTAGACTTTCTTCGGGGGGGGGGGGGGGGGCGGACACTGTTAAGTATATATTTTCTATATAAATTATATACATTTCATTTCGTTCGGGGGGGGGGGGGGGGGGCGGTAAAAAATTTTCGGGGGGGCTTTGCCCCCCCCTCCCCGAAGAGATGCCTGGAAGAAATTCTGGTGCCGACAATGATGAAAGAACATTTTTACATTATTGACTTCCTGCGGAGGGTTGTCCAGTAGTGGCGATTGAAAGATATCCGGCATTGAACTAACATAACGTCAATGGCAAGAGGGTTATGATACCAGCCATGCTAATGGAAAACATTGAAGTTTGAAGTGGTTTGTAGCCTACATGTATCAATGTAAATTTATAGGGGATAGGCGAAGACAAGACCAGCTGACTAAGTACTTTGAGCAAAGTATCGGTGGGACAAAAAGAATTACTGATGTCAAAATATATCAAAATTTAAAACTTAACATAACAGAAACATGAAAAAAAAATACCTTTAGAATAATTTATTCAGAATCAAAAATACCAATGTATATAGATAAATGTGAAAAATTTATCGATGTACAAACAAGACTATAAATGTAATAGGACCAAGTGATTAACAACTTCTGAATTCGACAGGTATCGTCATTTCTTTTGGTGCGCCCGTGTCTACCTTTATTGCCTTGATATTCAGTATACCATTGTAGGTGATTGTGGACGTCACTGATCGGGCATCTACATCCTGGAATATATAAAAATAAGTTAAATAATATTAGAAACTGCTGTAGTATAAGAGAAATGATAAAAATGTGTAGACTATTTGGTATATAAACACGTAATAGCGTACTAAATACAATCAAAATAATGTTGTCCTATCAAAATTGCATTATAGTATATTATGTCTACACCGTGATTTACAAGTTTTATAATTGTCAGGATTTGAGAAACAGGATACAGGCATAAGGATATTGCTTTGGTCATAGAAGGTAACGATTAAAGTTAAGTATTTAGCACAAAAGGTGGACGAACTGCTCTAATGTTATAAGAGTTTTAATGTTAAACCGAAAGTCAAGTTACAGACACGGGCTCAAGTTCGTTAGACGCCCAGGATATGAATATGATGGGTTTATGACTCGTTGAGGTAAGTAAAAGTGGGCATAGTGCTGACCACAAAGGTGGTGGACCGATGGACAGTATAGTTTGAAATTATCCATTTTTTTTACTAAGCTTATTAGATATAATTAGAAGTATAAAATGGATAAATGCCAGGGCAGAAGGCGTGCAACAAGAAATAAATTTATGTCTAGAACAAAGAAAAAGGAACGTGCATAAAGCTAGAATACGAGGTGTTACTGAACCCACCCAGGTTTTACAAGTAACATTTCTGATCGGGTAAGCAAATCTGCTGGCCTTGTGCATGTCTGATCACATATTTAATAGTATGCACACGTCATAAAAAATCAGAGGCGTAGCGACGGGGGGTACACATGTCCCCGGGCGCCGACCCTAGGGGCGCCAAAATAAGCTAATTTTAGCTTCTATTTTGAATTATAAATGTTAAAAATTTATGGGGGGGGGGGGTGAGGGGGGGGGGGGGGGAAGGCGCCAATTGAAAGTTTGTCCCCGGGCGCCGGGAGGGGGGGGGTCGCTACGCCTCTGTAATAAACGACCTATTCCAGCTGGCTATTATGTTTCTAAACACAATATTTCGAAAATAAGAGTCACCTCTGGAATTTTGAAGACCCTCGTGATCTCCCTGGAAACGAAGCCGTGGCCATCTTGCTTCTCCTCGTGTTTGGCGTGGATGGTGATGCGCTGGTTGTCTGAGGTGATCTTGATCTCCTCCGGCTTGTAGTGCTTCATGTTCACCCTCACACGGAACTCTTTGTCCGTGTTTTGGACCTACGGAAATGTAAATAGTGAGACTCGTTAGCAGAGGCATAGCGAGGGGAGGGGTGACACCAAGGCGAAAATAGTAAAATATATAGAGATGGGGGGGTGCAAATCGAAAGTTTGAGGGGGGGGGTGTGCAAATCGAAAGTTTGAGGGGGGGGGGGGTGTGCAAATTGAAAGTTTAAGTTTGAGGGGGGGGGGGTGCAAATCGAAATTTTGAAAGTTTGTCCCCGGGAAGGGTCGCTACGCCTTTGTGTGTGTGTGGGGGGGGGGGGGGTGACACCATTATGTACCGCACCGGGTGACACCCGACCTCGCTACGCCACTGCTCGTTAGTACCGGATTATGTGTAATGAAAGAATATTTGGGATGATTTTAGATACCGATGTTCGATAATAGACTTCGATAAAATAGGTGTGTTGGGTTGTTAGTAGTATTGTAATCTCGACTAATTCTATGGTTAGAGTGTACTGTGTTAGGCGTATGGTAGAACCAGGGTTGAGGTTCGGGATAGGGTTAGCATTGACATTAGCCATCCATGTGTGTATTCAGTTAAATTCTAGTAACCTAACACCCCTATCCGACACAGGTATAAAATTTCCCAATATTTGGACTTAAGTACAATAAAACAAGCTAATGAAATTAGATTTATGCTGGGGTTAGGTTTGATATAGAAGTAACTAAATTTTACCAGTTGTCAGAAATTTGGATTTCATTAAAAGGCTAACAGACAAAATATTTAAAAAATACTCAAAGTTTGTGTGAAAAAAAATGGTAATTCTAATTGTGGATTGTATTCATTATAAATGACAAATATTCATGATTATTGTTCTAGAAATAGAGGAACAAGCCCTTGTTCATTATTATTCAACAACTCTATATCTGGTCAGATAAACACTAAAGCAGTTATTTGGTGTAGAACATTACATTTTGAAGTAGTTAATATTTTGATGTTGACCTATTGCACAACCTAAAAATGTTCACTACAAATAACTTAAATAGTTTAAATGAAACTCATTAAACTAAGTAAAGTTGCATACCAGAGAAGTTTAAATGAATGATATTTTGCAGATAGCTTGAATGGCGCACTACAAACAATACTAATTAATCAGTAGAACTAAATCTAATTCTCACCTCCGATTCTCTGTTGGCTCTGGAAGCGTGGTAGGCTCTGGTCCACAAAGGTGGCATAATCTCAAACGGACCCGACAGCTCATCAGCAAAGCCAAGCAGAGTATCATCGTCGATTCGAGGAGAGATTGAAAACATGGTCAAAGTCCTTTCTTTGATGGGAGCAATGGAATGGTGCAAGTATCTACTTTAGAAAATCCTACTTGAATGACTGTGGCCTGCTTTATTTTATACCTGTTCTTTTGGTTCACGATTTGTTTTTAATCTATGAAGTTCACACGGAGAGATGTAGAATATTCTGAACAGTAAACACAATTTGTGACATGTTTTTTCCCTACTGACTTTGTTGTTACAGTAAACATTGAAAAATACGAAAACTGAAATTTCCGCTAAATTCAGATTTCCAACAGATTTTGGAGCGACTTTTCATAAAATAAAATCTAGTCTCCGGATAATTTTATTTTATTTGATTGAAATAAAATTCAGATTCCTATTTTGGTGAATTTGACCCTAATTTCATTGGCTTTATATATATATATATATATATATATATATATATATATATATATATATATATATCATAATTACTTTTTATGAGGCCCTGGGCTACCTGATATAGTATATTCCTTTGTATGTCCGCATTTTAACAAAAAAATAAATCCCGCTCCATCTGAAACCGAAAGTAAGATGTGTCATCTTGAAAACTGTTACAGTTACTTTAGACATGTGTAATATTGTAGGCCTTATTTTATTTCTTTTTAAATTAAATATTTCCGTCATTTACAGTTTGTTTCTTTAATATTAAGGATACTCCAAAGAAATTGAGGGCCACAACTGTAGGTTGTTTAGCTAATAGACCAAAATTAGGCACTTGGTTGTCATTTCGATGGTCAAAGTTACAATACTTTCCTTTTTGTATAGGCTTTAGTTTTGTCTCTTTAAAAAAATGAACTTGCTATCAATTATTTCTGCTTAGTAATATAAACAGCATGTTTAATTTAGATATTCTTGCATTTTCATCCAAAATCTACCACTGTGCCAAATTCCCAATGGGAAGTGGGTAAATTAAGATTCCAGGATTTTCTGAGCCACAAACATAACTAAATTAAATAAAAGCCTTTAAAACTTTTAAAACACGACATTTAAAAAATATTCAGCAACCCACAATTTTAAAATGTGTACAGTACTTGATCCAGTTGAGTGACTTGGGCAGACCCGACCCCGGCTCTACAAGAACACGTGAGTGTTGTGATTAAAATATTTGATTTAGTCACTAAGATAATGCCTTTCTTTCTGAATAGTTGTTCTTGTTAGTTCTAGAATAGATTTACTAGACTGTCATTATAAAGAACTTCACTAAGTTAATTTTCAAAAGTAATTGTGTATTATGGCTTAGAGTCTCGTGCAGAGTTTCTTTCAGGCATCTCTTCGAACGAAATGAAATTTATATAATTTATATAGAAAATACATACTTTTAACAGTGTCCGCCCCCCCCCCCCCGAAGAAAGTCTACCGCCCCCCCCCCCCCCCGAAAATTTCAAGTGCCCCCCGGAGAAAAAAGTCTGGAAGAAACACTGGTCTCGTGGAATGTAATTGTAAGAAGGGACTGAATTCTGATACTTCTATGCCCGTCTGAATGGCTGTGTTGGAGATAGTTTTACTAAACAAATCTCTTATCCATGTCATGACCTTAGCGCAAGCCCATGCTCTACAATAAATACAAAAAGTCGCTCTTTCGGCAACAATAGATAGAAGTATTGATGGTCTGGCTGTATCAAAGCATGCCGGGAAATAAAAGTGCCCCCCCCCCCCCCCCAGACTTAGATTTTCATTGTGCTTTTTGTTTTCCCTCAAATTCGAGGACCGACGCCCAACGGCCAGTGTTTCTTTCAGACGTTTTGTCTTCGGGGGGATGGGGGCACTTAATATTTTTTTTGGGGGGGGGGGGGGGGGTGGTCGAGAGGGGAGGCGTGGGGTGTGGGGCGGCGGACACTTTTAAAAGTATATATGTTCTATATAAATTTCATTTCGTTCGGGCTGGGGGCGGTAGACTCCCTCCGAGGTGCTCCGATCCCCCCCCCCCCTAAGAGATGTCTGGAAGAAACTCTGTTAACAGCAATCCCTGCCTAGAAGTATTAAATTGTGTTCTTTATTTGTATATACTCCAACCCCCCCTCCTCACCCTTAGATGGTCATAGTTTACACACACAACTATCAACACAACTCACGTTTGTGTTTAATTTTTTTCCTTTCTCTTTGTTTTTCTTATTTTTTTTTGTTTGTTTTGTTTTGCTAAACGGATTAAACAAAATAATCATTGGATGAACCCAGATGGTCACGTGTTATTGTTACTTTGGTATTCATCAATACGTGTGTCAAGGTCACACTGACTTAACGTCGAGTGTGTCTGATTTCTTTTTTTTCTTAGCGTGAAACTTGTGTTTGCCCATGAGATTGTTCGGGGGTGGAGAGGAGGGGGGTGGGTGAATTGGTGGGGGGGGGGGGGAGTTGGTAATGTGGCAGAATATATGTAATGGGGCACAATATAGGTAGGGATACTTTATTTATTATTTTTTACACTTAAATTGAGTTTCCACGGGTTTTGTTTTACAAACAACAAACAGCGAAATGTCGGGCGAGCTGTACGCTTATGTGAATGTACCCTGCATCTCTGAGAGCTTAAGTAGAGACCCTATTCTCTGGGAACTTCTAGAGATCAGTGTTTCTTTCAGACTTTTTTTCTCCGGGGGTTGGGGGGGGGGGGGGCATTTTTGTTATTTTCGGGGGTGATGAAGGGCGGACTTAATTTTCCGGGAGGGGGGGGTGTGTACACTAGTAAAAGTATATATTTTCTATATGAATTCCTTTTCGTTCGGGGTGGGGGGGGGGGGGGGGCAGTAGACTTCGGGGGGCGGGGAGGGAGTGGGGCCGGAAAAAATTCTGCTTGAGACCACCCAGCCCTTTCGAGTTCAAAACTTAGACTACGATTTGAAACAATAACTGTAACCCGATTGACAATTTGCTTCTGTAGTTAATATTATGGTTCGGTGGCGTTAAATGCTATTTTAATTCCATGTATCATTAGACGCGGGAGATGGCGTGGTCGGGTGGTAGAGCTCACAAAAGTGTCGAGTTAGATATCACGGGTTCGTGTCGGTCTGTAAGACCTTCCAGAGTCCATCCCAGCTCTGATGGGTACCTGACTCACGTTAGGGAAACAAAGGCGGCTGGGCATAGCGTTCAACCACACAATCCCTTTCTATGCCGAAGGTATTGACATTTTATCTGCTCCATGTGTCCTGGTCACATAAGGGAAACTATGATGATGATTTAATTTAGTAACTACCTCATCCAAAAGAAGAACAATCAAGAAAAAGTACCATATTGTTGAGTATCGGGGTTCGGCGTGGTCAAGTCGGTAAAGCTCATGGTTGCTAAACCGAAACGTCTCGAGTTCAAATCCCTCGTGCAGACGAGACTCGAACTCAAGGACAGCAACTCTTCGAGAGACAACTCCAAAATCAAACAGCTACTGCCTTGGTTGGACAAAGACATGGAAGCAAATCCATAAAAGAAAGCAGGCCGAAATTGGAATCAACGGCCCATATGGCGCATAACAAGGTGATACGTAATATTTAATTGTGTTGGAGGGAATCCCTTTCACCACTAGAATTAAGAACGAACGAAAAAAAAGAAGTTGTGTACCGATTTTTGTAAAGATCCACCCCTTCATAACCATATTGTATCAGTTATCCTGATATATTTTGTCCACAGATATTTTGTCTGAGATATAATTTATCCGTGGGATATTTTGTCTAATATATATGTATATATATATATATATATATATATATATATATATATATATATATATATATATATATATATATATATATATATATATATATATGTGAGTGTGTGTGCAGAGGCGTAGCGACCCTTCCCGGCGCCCGGGGACAAACTTTTCGATTTGCACCCCCCCTCAAACTTTCGATTTGCACCCCCCCCCCTCCCTCAAACTTTCAATTTGCACCCCCCTCAACATTTCAATTTATTTTTCCAACCCATTTTGGCGCCCCCTAAGGTCGGCGCCCGGGGACATATGTCCCCCCCCCGCCCCCCCCCCCTCCCTCGCTACGCTACTGTGTGTGTGTGTATGTATGTATATGCCTTTCATCATATAAACCGAACTGGCACAAGATAAGGCTGTAGCTTCTGCCTTTAGCTTGTAACAAGAAAGTAACAACAATTCACCAATCTGACGTAGCTTCAAGTTCCACAAGGGAAACCACAAAACGGTGAAAAAGGATTGTGAGGAGGACAGGTCCGAATTACGGTTCGGTGCGGAAACCCCATGTCACGTGACCTGATACCTGCGCAGGTGGGACTCTGGTTCTCATTACCAGGTAGACGGAAAACTCTGCGAGACGGCCCGGCCGTGGAACCGTATCCATCTCGCATGTCGCAGACCGAAAATAAACGCGCGTGTGGATGAAGTAAAACTGTATCTCTTGGACATTTTGGGGAAGTTGGGGGGGGGGGGGAATAATGTTGGTTGTGCATGTTAATCACTTCAACAATGTTATGGGAGCTAGAGAAATCTTGTTTCTGACAAAAGTCTATATCACAGATCAATGTGTTAGATTTACAAGCCAGATTTAGTTGCTAGTGACAATTAGATTATCCTGTCTATATATATTTGGTGGAAAAGCCTATACATACATATATTAATTAGATAAAAATGTAAATTATATTGAAATTTTTGCGGAGGTTGCGAGGGCGCTACTGGTTAAAGTATATATTTTGTATATAAATCATTTTTCGTTCTGTATGGGTGGGAATGCGGTAGACGTGACAAATGCCTGAAAGAAACTCTGGTTTATCCTAATTGAGATAATAATATATATACATATTTTGCAATTAGGCAGCATGAGATGACATTTATTAAAAATTACAAAAACTATTGCGTAATGCACTAAAGTACAGGATTAAAAAGCTCAATACTAATATCTGAGTGTTAGTCAAAATACATTTTGGAGGTAAAGGTTGAAAGGGGGAAAAATGATATTAGTAAACAATGGTTTCTGACAACGCAGTTAAATTTCAAGTTTATTGCCTACGTTATTCCTTGGTAATTTTTACATACATGCATCACAACACCCAGATACGATCTAAATTCTTGCGCGGATTCGATTTTCTAAAAGGTGCGTCAGGCGTCCCACACCACGTGGCTAGTGCATGAACCTGGCGGTTTCCATAAGCGCCTTCCGGTGTTGTCATACTTTTTGTGTCTGGTGAA